CTACCCTGCTGAGTCAACAGTCCCAGTTCCCAGTCAGTCCAGCAAGTACCGCACTGGACTGTGTGCACTTTGGGCAAGGGAAATGGGCCAGACCAACGACCTGCAGAAGTATAAATCAAGAGGCAGCCCCCAGCCTTTCATGGATTCCTGTGTGAGCCATGCGGAAGCGCTGCCACAGCGACTTGTGCAAGGAGGTCTGCAGTGAGCCCGGAGGACACAGTGGGCGAGAGAAGAGGAGTTAGCATAGCGATAGGCAGCCATAGCTGCCATAGCTGTAGTTAGGGGAAGAGTGTGTGTGCATGTGTTAGTGTTCAGAGTGACGTGTGTGGGATATCCAGGGTGATCCAGTGTGTGAACAATGAGTTGTACATGAAAAGTGTGAATAAGACGAGTCTGATTGCAAATGTGCCCTGCACTCGTCAATGTTTGCGAATCTTCGTCGGCGCTAGACAGTTGCCATGCGCCAGTTGGTTACAATCCACCTTGCGCGTGAGTATCCAAAATATTTGTGAGCCTTCCAGGCTCTCCAGCAACGTGGTCGAAGCAGGGAGCATCGCACGTTTGTGCCTGGGTGGTTGCGCATGCCTAACCAATTCGGTCCCAGGCTGGGTGGTTGCGCATGCCTAACCAATTCGGTTCTAGGTCACTGTCTGAATCGGGCCTGGGCCTGAAGCTACTGGAAACTCGGTCTCATGGGGGGGGAGGCAAAGGCAAGCACCTGCCACTTTCCATATAGGAAATGGCAGGGCGCAGGGCTGGTATTCGGGCACTTGCACTTGCGGCCGGCAGCTCCGCTGGAGCATAGACTCACGGGCGTGCGCAGGCGTCGAGAGGATAGAGGGCGCTGCTGAGGGCAGCACCATAGCCCAGCCTTCATAGCCAGGCTGGGCTTGGACACAGTCAGCAGGTGGTGGTGGTCTTTGTGTATGGGAAGGAAGTCGTGGGTGATGAAGACGAGGGTGAGAGAGAGAGAGGGATGAGGTTGATGATGTGAGGGCATGTACACCTGGTCTTGGCGATGGTCTACAAGGTCAGCATCTTCATGCACTTCGGTTGCTGCTGCTAACGTCAATGGGATGCAATTTGTAGGCTGCTAGTAGCTGTGTAGAAGCAGTCTGGGCGCTGAGCGTCAAGTCGGAGGAAGGGCTCTGGATGCATATGTTGGTGGTGGGGAGATTATTGTTACATGCCCAGTTGGGCGATGTACACATATAACCGAGGATCCGCAATGTGATAAAAACGACTGAATGGACAATGCAGTGCAAGTAGAATCTCAACAAGCAGTGTACATGCGGATACATACAAAAATGGTGCTTTATAGCGCAGGGAAGACTTAGATACAAGTCCTGACCTGACCGAGAATGACCTCTATCACGTAGTGCAAGATAGTGTAGCAGAATGCTAGAATACTAATGACTAGCCCAATCAATGTTGCAACGCAGACTAAACATACATCATTCTCATCACAAGGTGTGAAGAGAGCCTGGCGCTGTACACAGGAAGAAGGCGTGAGGTCCAGATCATGCACAGACGAAGAGGAGGCAAACAGACAAAGAAGAGGAGGGGGGAGATGGGAAAAGTCGTCAACACCAAGTCTTCATTACAAGTCCCAAATAATCCCTCGTCAAAATGTCTGAAGTCCAATGTCGAATCTGGATCCAAATGTCATCTCTCTCTCTCTCTCTTGTAGTCTGCTGATGCAGCGAAGTCATATAGCAAGAGGGTGAGAGGGAGATGGACTGAGAAGAGGAAGAAGAAGAACTCTCTCTCTCCCATATGTGCCAGGTACTAACCTGTGAAGCTGGCACTGTGAGTGCTGCAGGTACCTCGAAAACGAAGCTCGAGCTATGGCGCTGCAGGTAAGTCTCCCTGGCCTCTGCCCAATCTCTCTTTCTCTCGTACTGCTCTAGCTCCTATGGCGCCCAGCGCTGAAGACTACTGCTAACGCTGCTAGCGCCCAGCACTGAAGACTACTGCTAGCTCTACAACTACTCCTGCAGCGCTCCTCCAGAGTGCTGCTGCCGAATCCTGAAGACTACCTCCTGCCTCCTGAACTGCAGGTGAAGTGCCTGGGAAGTACCTAGGAACTACCTGCAGCCTGCAGGGCAGGCCAGTCTTATATAGTGCTGGCCCGTCCAGGAGACTGCTCTTGCCAATGCCAAAACGTGCCAGACCCTGGGGTTGAAGCTCAAAAAAAGGTCGTCTTGAAAATAGGCCAAAAATGGCCTGTGCTAAAACCCCGGTCTGGTGCTCGAGTTTCAGGGCAGGTCGATCTTATGAGGGCTTGAAAATGGCCCTCAGTTTCAGGCTGAAAACACTCGGGGCCGGAAAGGCCCTGATTTAGCCTGAAAGGACACAAGGCTTGTAGGCCCATGTTTTCAGGCTTTCAGGCTGAGACGACACGGGGCCTGTAGGCCCTTGTTTTCAGGCTTTTGGCCTGAAAACGTGACGGGCCTGAAAGGGGGCCCATGCAGCCTGTTGCAGGCATAGCATGTAACACCCCCCCCTCCTCATGAAGTCATGCCGGGGCGAGGGCGAAGCTGACGATCTGAAGGTGGAACATGGATGCGGGTGCGACGTGGAGCCGAAGATACCGGCTTGCCTTGCATTCATAGCGTGCAAGAACATCCAGAGTTGTGGCTTGGAGTTCCCCACGGGTCAACCAACGGTCAACTTTGTGAGTGCAGTACGCAAAGTGTACCAAGTACTCGGTTGGCCTGTTGCCGTAGCGTCGTTGGGAGATGATGCCGCCGACCTCTTGAAAACCGTCCATAGAGGGTGGGTCTTGCGATCGTCGCCCGGGAAAATTATCATGTTCCGCCGGCGTGTAAGGAGCCAATTTGGAGCAATGAAAGACCGCGTAGACGGGCAAGTGGGCGGGCACCTGAATGGTGAAAGGTGGTCCTTCGGGTGCATCCCCAGCGGGTGCCACGATCGGCCAGGGCCCCATCCATTTCGGGAAGAGCTTGCAAGAGACATCTTGTTCAAGGCTGAATTCTGCGGCGGAAACCCAAACGAGATCGCCGGTGCGGAATGGGCAAGGAAGACGTTGGCGATTGGCCTGTTGGCTCATGCGTTGCTGTGTCTTAGCCATCGGGTCGTGTGCCTTGACAAGTAGCTCTTGCATCCGACGCAAGAAAAGAAGATGGTCGTCGCTCTCGACCGTTCGTGGAATGATTGTGTCCAACGGCGAAGTGACCGGCAAGCCGTGCTCGAACTCGAAGGGCGACATGGATGAGTTGTATGCCAACTCGACATCCAGTAGCCACTCAGCCCAATCCTTTTGGTAGGGATGGATGAGAGTGCGAAGGAGAACCTGTGCGATCTGATGCGCCCTCTCCGTTTGGCCATCGGTTTGGGGGTGGCGAGCCGAACTTGGCTTGAGAGATGAGCCCCATGATTGTGGATGCTATCTATGA